CATGCTCTAATCTGGAGACCGGGAGATACGGTCCAAAATCCGGAGTCTCCCGAATTATCCGGGAGAGTTGACAGCACTGTTTTCCTTCTCAATGAAACAACAAGGAAACTGCTAAGTAACAAATAACATAAACATTGAGCACCATAAACCCACAGCAATCTGTTTAAATTTCTCCTCAGTTTTGTCAATCTAGACAGTGCCCTCTTTGGTAATTTGTTTCAATATTTATCATCAAGTAGGTTAATTTGCCTAAATTGTGTGACACAGTTCATTTAAATACTGCAGATATGCTCACTGAAGAAAATGAGAAGTTTGTTGAATTTGGAATTGGTGGATTGTGTAACTGCAGTCTAGGTAAGTTCAAGACAAACTTGAGATAAATAAGCCATATTACTCTTTTTAATATCATATCATATTATTACGATGCAATATATTTCATACACAGTTTTTTTTTTCTGTTCTATCAACAGACAAGGAAAACAAACAACACATAATTGACAATGGTGGGATTTCATTGGTTGTCAATTGTTTGTCAAGGTACATGTAGACCCAAAGACTGGATTTCAGTGTCTTAAGTGTCATGATCCAGTGAAAATTGCTCTGTTTTCACTAAAGACTCCCTTGCTTATGATCTTAAGTGATAAAGCAGTTTATTGGAGTCACAAGGAGAAGCACAACAACAAAACCAATCATTCAAAATATGCAGTGTGATTGGTTTATTCTTCTGCTTCTACTTCCAGTTCTGAGAATCTGGTTTTCACTGGCAAATATTAGTGAGGGAGTCAGAGGAAAATAGCCTGTACACAGCCTCCCACTTCCCGCAGAAAAAATCAGAGAAGTGGCATCTGTGATTCACCGTTGCTTATCGTGTATGGGAATAATTTTGCATAAATTAAAAAATTAATAGTTTCTGCTGACCAAAATTTCTTTGGCTCATGTTTCATGTCATTCCAGTTGTCAAAATGCCGGTGCATGCCACTTATTTCCACATTTTTATAATAATTGCTTTACTCTTTACCGAGCAAGAAAAATGTTCCTACAAACCCTCATTGAAGGAAAAATATCCATGATCTTATGCAAGCCTTCCCGCTGGATTCAGAAAGTCATTAGTGTGAAATTAAGTGTTGACAGGTCAGACGCGACTCATAAGCTTGCGATAGTGTGAAACATGGCCTTAGCATTTGCTTGAGCGACAGAGGTTTTCCTTCTCTTCTTTCTAGTGCATAGATTATTCATCCCAGTACATGGAGTAACATAAACTTTGACTGGAAAATCTTATTTTTGCCTTTGATTCTTACATTTAGAGGTCTTGTAGCTGATATGTCTATGCATATTGAGTTATTATTTCCTGTGGTTTTATGTTTCTGTAGGGGTTTGTGACAGGATTTGATGGCTAAAAAACCTTTGAAAGATTTTAGTTTTCTTTCTTTTCTCTGAAATCCCTGAATCTGAATAGCTACATGCGTGCAGTTGTCTGTGAATGTGATGATATAATTTCTGATTACCTGCTATGTTTGGATGACAGGCCCAAAAGCCAATCAAAATCCCTCATTTACATTATTTTAGTGATCTACGAGTTACAGCCAATCAAATCATTTTCCACACATTCCGCAAAAAATCACATGGCCTAGCACAATACACGATTAGCAACTGTGAATCACAGACACCCCTTCTCCAATTTTTTTCTGAGGGGAGGGGGTGGCTGTACACAGGCTAGAAGAAAATTGAAATGTAATTTCTGATTCTTGTGACCCTAATTTAGTTAAGCTTACTCCACTTAAGTCTCCAAGTTCATATAGATCATATATACATGTTAACAGACTCTTCATGCGGGGGAATTTGTTTTGTGACCTAATGTACATTATTCCTTTATTAACTTAAATAAACAGATTTCTAGTTGACTGACTGGGCTGAGTTGTCCAAAAGAAATATTACACACCTATAACTTGTATTATTCAAACTGTTCGGCCCAAACTGTTAGTGAGTGAGCTTTAGACGTGAACCTGAAGCACTAATATTATTGTATTATTTTACCTTTAAATTTATAAAAATTTAGCCCAAATGAAGAGACTGTATTGTCAGCCATAACAACTTTGATGTTTCTTACCACACCACAAACACAACCAGGTCAGTCAAAGGAGTGTTGAA